AAACGCTAACAATAAAGGTATGTACATCTTTTTAAAGACACATATTTATCACACACACACATTCACTCTGAATTTTCAATCACACACTTTCACACGCACTCACACTCGCTCTCTCTCGCTCACTCGCATGTAGACGTTCGCACTTTCAGTCTTGTTCCGGCCAGCTGCCGTGCTGCCAACCACCCCCACATTTTTTTTCTTAGAAAATAAGAATACAGTAATATTAGTTATAATTCCCTAGAGGCGAAGTTGGCAGCACAGCGGATTTGAATTATGTCCTCAGTCTTATCGTTGCGTGAGTGCTTCTGTCCGAGATGAGGGAGGGAGGCTATTGCACTTTATGTCCTGGGGCTGCATCGCCACGCGCCTCAGGGCGCGGGCGGGGGTCGGGGGAGGGAGGTACTTCCCCGGTTTCAGTCTCGCTCTCCACCGACTTCCATGGGACTGCCGCGCGTCTCATCCATGGCTATGATGGGCGCCGGGCCCCGAATCTCCAGTCCGCGATCCAAGTCCCTCTCTCTTTCCCGCTCCCGCTCCCGCTCTTCCTCCTGGCGCGCGGCCTGCATGCTCACGATGACCCTGGAGGCGTGCGGTGCGGCGGCGGCGTGGGCCGCTGCGCTGCTGGGCGGCGACATCTCCTCTGACGACGACGTGGTTCTGGCCACCGACAGGTCCTCCACCTGGTCCTGGTAGCCGTCCACGTCCATGGGCGGTGAGGAGGCGTCGCGCTCGCGCTGCGGCGGTGGGGACTCGCTCCTGGCGGCGGGCGGCACCTGGGCGCCCAGGGCGCTGAGGGCGTGCCCGAGCTGGCCGAGCTGGCCGAGGCCTAGGGCGCCGGCGAGGTGCGGAGGGTAGCGCGGGGCAGGCTTGGCGCTGGGTGACGGCGACCTGGCCTCGGGCGAGCGATCCCTGTCGCGGTCCCGATCCCGGTCTTCAGGAGGGCTGGACGAGCTGGCAGAGTTGATGCTGAGCGCGTGCGCCGCCTGGGCCGAGGCCATGGCCACGATCGCGTCCCGCTCCATCTCCGCCTTGACCATCCAGTGCTCCACCAGCCCCTGCGCCGGCATGCTGCTGTTCTCAGGCTCCTCCATGTTGTGCGCCATCCAGCCCTGCACCGGCGCGCCGCTCAGTCCGAAGGGGAACGCCACGCCGTTTGAGGACGCGCCGTTGGAGGCCTCGCCGTTGCCGTTGGCGCTGACGTTGCTGCCGCTGGCCGCGCCGTTGCCGCCGTTGGAAGCGCGCTTGATGGGTCGGTTGGTGACGATGCCGCGCTTCTTCACCTTGTCGTACAGGGTGCGCGACGGCACGCCGAACTTGCGCGCCGCCTTGAGCGCCGACATGCCGGAGCGCACCGCCTCGATGGCGCACTCGATGTCGTTGCGGGTGTACTGCTTGTAGCGCTTCCACTCGGGCTTCTGCTGCTGGACGTACGGCACGATGTTGGATGACACGCCTGTGGAGGGGGAAAAGAAATGATAAGGATGAGTTCGATTAAAAACGGCCAGCCACCAGTCCACGAGAGCCACGGCGCCTGCGACCGGCGGGGTAGGCAACCCATTCGACGCCCCGAAGAGCATTCGGCTTTGGCTGTGCCAGCTATGCGGTCCCTTACTTCTTTCAAAGGGGACGGGGAGCTGATGACGAAAGGGTCGGATAAAATATGCAGGCAGTTTGAGATCAATCGCAGGGAGGTCTCTTAACGACTCATTATTGCTTCGATTCGCCAAACAATGAGACGCCAAGGGAGGGGGAGAGACATACTAAAGAAAGGGGTGGACGACGAGCCTCCCCTTCCCGCGCTGCTACTGTTCACTGTAATTGCCCTCGAGATTCTCGATTTTCTAACATCGTAAAGAGTGCGTTGCTGGGAACTTACCGCGCATATCAGCAGCACTCAGGGGCGATGAGGAAGGAATCATCATTCGTGACTGGAAAAGAGAGAGAGAATGTTTAGTTTATGCGTTTCAAAGGATGAGTAGCGATATGGTCGCAATATTGATTAGAAAGTTTAACTCACTTTTTCGAGTTCTTCTTCATTCATCGAGATGTCGGTATACGGTGAGGGAGAGCCTTCGTTGCCTTCTTGTTTCACCTGAAAATGAAGGAGGAACCTGTTATTTTTCATTCATATAGTTCGTGAAAGCCAATCACCCCAGAGTTCCAAGCGCGGGAAAGCCTCCGCTTGACGGAAAACAAACGGACGTGGTGAGGCTCATGACGTAACGAGAGATTGCTCCCGTTCTTTTGGAATCGCAGCGAGCGAACGCGATGCAGACGGCCAATGTTTGGTTTCGTGGTCCCCTCCTCCGCCTAGGCGTTGGCTTTGATAAGGAGCTGCATGCAGTGGCTAGGCGACGGGGAGGGGGAGGATGGAGGGCGGGAAGGGGGGTGGCAAGAGAGGAAACGCTCACGCTCTCATTCAAACCCTTTCCCAATCTACTCATGGGCCCAGACGAAAAGGGAGTGCAAAAAAATACTTATCGGAATGACTTTTTCCTCACCTTTTCGAAGTCGTACATGAAGCCGTTGGAATGGGAATGGGAGCCGGGCCTAGAGTCGTGGGAGTCGGGGTGGCACACCAGGGAGACGGGCTGCGAGGAGTCCGCCTGCCCCTGCGCCGCACCTGCGCCCGAGCCAGAGCTCGCCCGCGAGGCCGTGGAGCCCGGGACGTTGCCGGCGGCGCCCTCCGAGCCCTGCGCCTGCCCCAGGACCGTCCTCAGGATGGGCGTGTCCCTCGAGTGGAGCAGTAGCGAGGACAGCTTCTTCCGCTGCAGCGGGGACATGTCTCCCGACTCGTAGGCGGCGGCCAGCAGCGACGATTGCGGCTGCAGCGGCGAGGTCGCCAAGGGCACCCCCGGCATGGCCCACAGCGGCAGCGGCAGGCGCGCCCTCTCCCGGTCGCGGTCCCTCTCGCGCTCGCGGTCCGAGGACGGCGACTTGTAGGGGTACTTGTTGTAGGTGCTGTGCGGCGGGCTGGACGGCCCGAGGCCCGTCGAGGTGGTGATGGACGAGGGCGGTGACGGCGCCGACGAGGGTACCAGGTCCTCCTTGGGGTTGCTGATGGTGTTGTTGTTGTGGTGCTTGTAGTCCTCTGGCGCGCATCCGGATGAGTGGTGGCCGTTCTCTTCAACAAGGCCCTTCACCTACAGGGATGAGGGTGTTAGGAGGAGGACAACGAAAAAAGGACAAGAGTTTTCCTGAGCTTCGCGACGGACTTACCTTGAGCGTCTCCGCGACCCGGATGAGGGCGGTGAGCTGCTGCTGCTCGACATTCACCTCCCCGCGGTACATGTACTCCAGGATGGCCTTCATGTCGGCGTACTTGACGTCCTTGAGCACGACCACGGGGTGCTTGCAGGGCAGCTCGGAGAAGAGCGCGGCAAAGTAGGCCGAGCAAGCGGCCAGCACCATCTTGTGGCACTTGATGGAGACGCCGCCCTCGCAGGCGAGCGTCACGTCGGTGAAGGCCTCGGACTGCAGCAGCTGGTCGAACACGGTGAGCAGGTTGGAGCGGTGGTTGTTCCATCGCAGGCAGTACTGCTGCCCCGCGTTGGCCATGGCGGCGCCTGGCGCGCCCGGCGGGCAGCCCTTGATCGGCGTGCTAGCGGCCCGCTGCGCAGCAGGCGAGGGGCTGCGGCTGCAGCTGGGCGACGTGGTGCGGGCGGGGTAGGGCACACGGCTCACGGACCTGGCGGCACGGGCTCCTCTCCGTCAAGTCGCTCGCTCGATCTGGAACAACGAGGGAAAACGCGTGTTAATGCACCTGATCCGGCAAGTCTTGTATAAATAGACGATCGCTGCCGTCGGGTCGGGGGTCGCGCCGAGGGGGGAGGG